AAACAGTAATTCTCCAGCAATTCTACTAAAACTCTTATAAAATTCATCCTCTTTCAAAATGATCTTAAAATCCACCTTAGCTTTTCAGATTCCACACTAGGCTCTTAAAAAAAGTATTCCCCAACATTTTTCAGCTATGTATGTATTCACCTAAAATCTATTTGCATACAGATATATAGCTCATCTCAAGCAGGGCAAATTAGCAGCAGTTAAGAGGGGTTTAGAGGTTTTTAAGCAGAAAAAAGCAAGCCTTACACAGGTACGGGTTGAGTTGGAAAATATCTGTAAGTGATATCTAAGTAAACATATATATTTCATCCCACAGGAGCACAGTAATTTTCAAATGCGTGATCCAATTAGCAAGAGTCTAAACGACAGCCTTTAGGCTAATGGTGCGCCTGCTCCATACTGTCTTCTACTTAAGGTAATGGAAACCCCATCAGGGAAAGATTCATTAAGGTACTTAATTGGTTTTAAGTGGTTCACCCTGCTCTGACAGCATTTAAATGTAGTGACTTACGGAGAGCACAACCAGGGAGAGCCTCGGCTGGCTCAGCCAGCAGCGGCCGGCTCCGTGCCCGGGACCGCTGCTCCTGCCCAGCTCTGGGTGCAGAAGCTGCAGGCAGCTCCCGCCCGGGCAGAGGCGGCGCGGCACGGGCAGAGCAGGGCCCGAGATGCATGGGCATCCATGGCAAACGTGCTTCCCCGCGGCACCTGCGAAGACAGCCTGGGGGATGCTTCTGAGCTCCCCTCCTGATCCACCTTCACTGGGATGACCCCTGCGTCAGGGTCAATACTTGCATCCCTGAATGCAACAGGAAGGATCCCAGAGCAGCCATTTCAGTGTGCTTCCAAATATAGACAAGTTCTCCAAAAAATTCAGTGTGTCAGGTCAGGCATTCCCAGATGTTTTCATTGTCTTGGACAATGAAAGTCCAATTTCCAATGCTGGAAAGGGATCCGGCATCCCATCAGCCCTCATGGATGGAGGAGCAGACTGCCCTCGGTTCATTCCCCTGTTCACGGCAAGCAGGCACTACCTGGGAAACAAAGAGGAGGTTCAAAACAATGTTTAAAAACCTCTATGTACCTGCATCAGGCTTTGTTTAGTTTTAAAAACTATTTCTGAGCTTTCCCCTCAGTGCTCTGGTTCCCCAGCCATGCCAGCTCTGCAGCTAATCCCCCTTTGCAGTTCAGCAACCCCAAAAAAACCCTAAATAAGCAGCACAGGGGGGCCAAGACCATCCTGGCTGCCAGGGAGCGGAGCCCAACAGTAACATGAAATGCATTTATAAGCCAGCAGGGTTGCTTCCGCACAGCACACACTCCCCCCCTCCAGCCTTTTGCCCATGACGAGCATTGGATGGGCACCACACTGCCCCGACACGGCCCCCACAGGGTGAGGAGCCTGGGAGCAGTAATAGGGACAGCATTTGGGGGTAAACGGGTGAAAGCAGCTGTATCTCGGGCATTACTGGATAACCAAGAGTTAGATACATCTATATACTTCAGGTTTTAAAGAGAAAACTCAACATCCAGTGAACCAGAAATTGGTGTTAATGTATTTCCACATATCCAGCCCTGTCCCGGCAGGGAGCACAGAAGCATTTAATCTTCTGGCTCGCAGGAGAGCCCCAAGTTTTGATGCCCTGCTCCTACCCCGGCAGCAGGGAGCAGGCCATTACAGGTACATCTCCTGGGGAA